AGTCATACTAATTATATTTAAAAAACAAAACGATTAATATGTTATCTAGTTTATATTTGATTAAAAGTTTTCTTTTCTCTGAGTTATTATTCAAATCATAACACCAAAACTAGGAAATATTTGATACTTTTCGAGAAAATATCTATATGAAAAAAATATATATCTTCACGAATTTTTAGGTGTAGTAACAGAAATTGGTGATATGATTAGATGTTTTTTTTAGTTTTACATTTGGTTCTTGTCGTTGTAACATTTCAGCAGCAGCATGATTAAAACCTGATTGATTAAATAAAAATGCACTAACATGTCCATGAGGAATATATCGAATATGAATACCAGGCCATACTTCATTCATATGTGAAATACCATCATGTGTACAAGCAATAAACATAACATTAGGTATATTTGATTGAATTAGGCGTGAATAATTATGTAAAGATGTAAATTCATCCATAAGAAGACGCATCATATCTTTAATAAGATCGAGAACAATTTTATTTGAATCTATTGATCGATTTCGTTCACACAAATAATCATAAAATGTTTGAGAGGCTTTATTCTCATAGAATTGTCGAGAAGGTAGGTCAGGCCATCTAAAATATAAATATATACACAATGGCTACCAAAATTATTCAACTTTTACTCAATAAAAAACCATCCTAGAGAGTTCAAGTACTAGACACTGAGAAATTAGGCTTTTGGATTGTCTAAAAAAATCCTAACTTAGCGAATCAAATAATCAATGTTTTTAATTTATATTCTTTTTGTAATATGGTTTGATCTACTTGAATCATTATTTGAAATGATGATAGATACTGTATATTCATTCATTAAATAGATCAAATAATAGAATTGAATCTTACTTTGTAAATGCTAATGAAGCTATATGTCCACCAAGAGAAAAATCATGTAAAATAGCTGGTGTTAATTTCATTTTTTGACACCAATGAAGTAATACAAGTGTTTTACCCATAATTTATAAATCGGTAATATACAATAATGATGAACGAGATTGATCTGGTGGTTTTCTTAAACCATAATATGGATTTTCGAGAAGAATTGAACCTATAGGATATTGATTAATTAATGTGACTGTAGTAAATAACCTTCGTCCACTAAAACCATGATCACCTGTTCCAGCATAACAAATTCCTATTGGAATTGAATCAATACCAAAACGATGATCACGTGATAGAACAAGTTGAAAATGAGCTGTAGCTACTTGAGATGGAACCTATTTAAATAAATATAACAAAAGAAAAAAGATAATATTAATTAAATGATTAAAATAATTTTAATTACTTACCAAATGTGGTAAATAATTGGCAAGTGGTGAACGAAATCGAGCATTTATATAATTTTGATTATCTTTTTGTTTCTTGTTTAATTATTTCAACAGTATTTTCCTGTACATTTCCAGCTGGTACAAGTTCTAAATACTCATCTGTTACACCAATTTTTTCACGTCGATAGGTAAAAATTTCTTGTAAATGAAATGGATTTTCCCAACCACGTACAAATGATTGGGTTAATATAAAACATCGAAAGAGATTAGCGAAATTCATCATTTCAATCGTACTCGAATCTTTAATAACATCTAGAGAATTGTTGATCTGATCTTCTTTTTCTTTAATCGAACAAAAAACAGGATAATACAATGCTTTAGTATTCTCAATATTATATAAACACACACACACATATACAAAAAGAACTCTTATATGTTCTTTTTATTTTCCTAAATCAATCTCGTTAGTTTACTATGAAAACAAAAAACAATATTTTTATTGCATAGCACCAGTAATGTTAAGTAACATTTGAGGGTCATGTGGTAAATAGACCCTATTTCTTGATTTTGATAATTGATTTGCAATACCTTCGGCGGCTTCAATTCGTCGAAGTTCGATCTAACCTAACATGAATATTAAAACAAAGTAAGATAGGATAATAACAGATATTCGAAAATTTACCATCACCAGCTTCATCTAAAGTTTTGCAAATCAAATCAGCTGCACGAGCATCATCTTCTACTGCAATAACATTTGCTTGACGACTTTGTTCAGTCTCTTTTTTTTTATCAAAAAAAAACAAACTCATACAAATTTTATTCTTATTGATTTACTTTTTCGACTAAAAATCGTTGTTTTTCAACATCTTGTTGTGCAACTTATTTTAATTCAACAGCACTTGTAAATTCAGGTCTAAAACTTAAATGTGTCTAATTTAAAGAAAAAAACAATATAAGCAACTCTAGACTCTTTTTTGTTGTATCTTAAAATTGAAATATCGTCAAGTAATAAACCAAATTGAGCAGTACGTTCTGTTAATAATTCACTAACACGTTGAGAAATGAGTGCACGTTGTGTAGTCAATTGAATAGCATCAAATTGAGACTTAGTACAACAGATTTTAAAACTTCATTAATAATCGATGATAAAACGCGTTCTTCATAATCTAAACCCAAACTTGCAAAAAATTTTTGGTAAAAGTTCAGCTCTTGATCGATAAAGAATACGTAATGTTATATTAATTGTTTGTAAATCTAAAATAAAAATAATAAAATGTAATTTATGCATATTTCATTTATACGAAGAAAAAATAACGGAGACTTCCAGTTTTAAGTTTTATGAAGTATCCTAAGATTGGTGAATGATGAAAGTGTAGAGGTGTAAACCGATCAGTTGAGTCGCCATCGATGGCCACAAAATTTTTTAAGATACCTCAGCCATATACGTTCATTGATGTTTCAATAGACATCGTATTTACCTTCTTTTTTTCGCGAGCTTACATTTTCCTCATGTTCACCTCTCATCTGAAGTTGACTATTTTCTTCTAGCTTTTATACCTTTTATTTCTGTTATTGATGGAACAGATCGTGGTCGTGTACGAATATCAAATATAATTGCTCTATGAAGCCATGAAATCATAAAATAAGTTCCTTCTTCAATAACATCTAGTTTAACACCTTGAAAACGTTCAAAAATAACATCTTGATGACCATCATCAACTAGAATATATTTAAATTTAAAGAAAACAAGTTTTTTTTAATCTTTTCATATTTACCATTATAAAGCATACAATTAATCACACCACCACCAATACCTAAACCAATACCTATTCTTCTTGAAACACTAAATTCTTCTATCGAAATAAAATATCATTAAATAAACGAGATGAAGTCATTGTCTGTTTTTTTCTTCTGAAAGAAAGGCATGCATAATCATAATCAAATTAAATTTGTTTAGTCATTTTATTTTTATTAGCAAATAGTTCCAGAAACAAAACGAAACCATATGAAAATTTTTCATATCTCTATCGATAGAAAAAGAAAATGCATCACTATTTAATCTATCTATCTACTACAATAACAAACCAATGTAATATATACATAGAAAAAGATTAAATAACAATAATTTTGAAAGCAAAAAAAAATACATGCATACTTTTAAATAAATCGAAATCCACTTGAAAAAATATGAGCACCGTTTTGTTTTTAGACAAAATAAAAGAAAAACAAAACGTGTATAAAGTTTAGCACCGTTCAGATATTGTTCACCATTGGGTTTCAATGAATTTGATGTATCACTATTCTTTGCTACTGCAGCAGCAATTGCTTCGAGTGCTGGAACAGTCTATAAAGAAATTATTTATATCATAGAAAAAAAAAATGGTTTTCAATTACTATAATTTGATTTTGTTAGAAAAAATTGTTGTGGAAATGATGCACCATCAACACGAAAATCTTCAAGATTTCTATAGTTTTTTAAAATATCTTCAAGTTTTCGATTGATTTTTGGTTTTTGTCGAGAATATTTTAAAAAAGCTCAGAATTTTTCTAAACCCTATAATTGACCTAAATAGAAAAATTATTTTTGTTATTGACACTTTTCTTTTTTTTTCTTGTGTAATCTATTTTATTATCAGCTTCATGATCACAAAGAGTTTCTTGTTGAAAATCTTCAAGTACATGTTGACGAAAATGTTTTTCTATATCATATGTATAACATCGAAATAAACATTCAACATCATATCTATACATAAATAATAATATTCAATTTTTTTCGTATTATTTTTCATAAAAACAATTCATTTATATGCCGATGATCAGTTTTAGTATCTTCAACAGCATATTGTTTAAATTCATTGTACATATGACAATTAAAATTTTCACATAAGAAAAATGACTAAAAACGATAGAGTGTATTCATTTCCATTGATTGATCAGGACCAAGCTTAATGCGTTCTAGAAATTAGATCATTACAGAAAACAAAATGTATTTTTTTTTGTAAATCAACATGACTTTAGATTATAAATATTTTCTATGAAATAATAAAATTTGGGGATTAGTGAAACTTAGTGTTTTTAATCATTGACGATTATTTTATTGCTTTTCAAATTTATCATGTAGATAAGAATGATAGTATTTATTTAAAAAACTCCATAAAAGAGTAAAATCTTTGTTTTTTTTTTGAAAATTATAGCAACAGACATATTCTCTATTATCTATTTAAATAAGAATATAAGTATTTTTAGACTCTGATTTTTACCGGAGAGTAGTTTTCGCTGTTGTTTTTAGATATATTGACCGTTCTTTATTCATTAAGAGACTCGTTTTCTTTACGTTCAATGCCACGTAATTTCAATCTTTTTTTTCTCTACAATCAGCGTTTCTTTTTTACCATCAAGACATTCTTATTTATATTTAAGATAAACTTGTTAAGTAAAACCATTTTGTTGTAAAAGTGTATGAGATGAATGTTGAACCATAAAAATCATATGAATTTGAATTATTTCCATGCCAATAATGTGAATCATTGTATGATGATGAATATTGATCATAGAAATCTTGTTGTCGAGTTCTAAATAAGTAAAACTCATTTTATACTAATAATAATTGACATTCAATTGTTTGTATTAGGAACAAAAAATATAAGGAAATTCGTCAAAAAAAAACAAAGCAACACAAGTTGGTGGGTGTGTCTATGTTCTTCATTCACACCCACACCTCCACCCTGCTTTTGTTTTTTCGATGATGATGATGAATAGAAATTTCTTCTGATCCAAAAAAAAAAGAAAGAAAAGAATATGTATTGTCTATGAAGGACTGTATATGAACAAAGGACAAGTATTCACATCCATGCACATGAAAAACGATGAAATTAATTCGTGTCTCATCATTTCAATTAATCATATGATGATTAATCAAATCAATTACATTCGAATGTGCACATCATCGTCAATTATCGTTCGTCAAATTGATATCAACATCAATAGAATGTCTTTGATTGGCAATGTATGTTTAAAAACACATATATATATGAAACACATTTTCACCAGTATTCTCATACGATTCGATCGAACAAATCATGAGCATGCTCAATAAAGATAAAACATGACACTCACATGATTTATTTTTCACGGTTTACAATTTTTTATATTACTTACAATAATTAATATTATTTTACATTATGATTTTTCATGAATGACATACAGTTATCAATTTATAATTATTTACAATGCTACGTATGAGTTTATAATGTATGAAAATGTATACATTTATAATGAAATTTGTTACATAATGTTATGTTAAACCTTTGAATTCTATAGTAGGAAAAAGAAATCTATACATGTTTAATTATTATTATGTAATTTACTGATATGTAGCAATAAAGAATGTTCAACGGTGTGGATGTGGTGAGTGTCGAGTTTGTAGATATGGGTGTGTAGGTGTGCGCACGTGAATCCGTATGCGAGCATGCTGGTTTTTATCTGGACGTGTCAGTGTCCAGTAGAAATAATTTGGGACGCAAAGAATTAAAATACATTAATTTTCGATGATATTTACAGATCGATATTATATAATGATGCATTTTTTTTAGAACGAAATCTAGGGGTGGGTGTTATTAAAATTCATTTCTGTACAATTCAATAAATGCATTATATTACAATGAAATTTTATCAATTTCATAATGGATTAAAATGTTTTGATTTACAATGATATTCATTGAATCATATTATATTAAGATGTATTAATTTATAATGAAATTTATTATATGTTGTTAAATTCATTACTTGCAATGATATTTATTGAATGATATTATATAAAGATGCATTATTTTTATATGAAATATGTAAGTTTATGATGCATTATATTATATTAAATTACAATGAAATTTATTGTATAATATTATGTTAAAATGCATGAATTTACCATAATATTTATTGAATGATATTATATAAAAATACATTAATTTACTATGGAATTTATTATATGTTGTTAAATTCATTACTTACAATGATATTTATTGAATAATATTATATTAAAATCTTTTATTTTAGAATGAAATTTATTGAATGATGTTATTTAAATTCATTGCTTTACAATGCATTAATTTATAATGAAATTCATTCATTCATTTATTCAATGATGTTATATTATAATTCATATTTTTTTACAATATTTTTGATTTCAATGATAATATATGTTAGGATATATTGATTTATGATAGAAATTTATTCTATGATGTTTTTAGAATTCATCCGTTTTTTTTATGAATTATATGAAATTATAAAAACCATGAGAATGTTAAAAAAGAATATGATTTATTATTGATTTATATCAATAACAAGATTGGGTATGTTGCTTCAAAAATTATCTTATTTATCTTGAGAAAGACTTGAACAAATAAATTAATAGTTGAAAGAACAATTCTAAATTAAATTTTCATAACAATACTTACATTGAGATAATGTAATAAGATATAGATGATTTATTTCGGATGAAATAGTTTTTTTCTTCGTTGTTGTACACATTTAGTGTATAGTGTTATTATGTTAAGTCTATGTTATTTATGTTAAGTCTATGTTATTTATGTTAGAAGATAGATACCAATTTATATCACAGCCTTATCAGGTGGCTTCGTAACCTGATCCAGAGAGAGATTCTGTTCGTCATGGAATGGCGAAAGCAGTGTAGTGCTCGGGAAGGCCTTTAATGTACATAGGTCCCTGCCGTCATTATGTACGGTACACCTATGTACATTGCCCTACCAGTCCGGCGTGGTCCGCTCTGTGTGTACCTGTTTCATACGCATAGGGCCTCTCCCTGGTCGCGCGCGCGCGCGTACGCGTGAAAATGAGTCTAGAAAAGTAGGGAAGTGAAAAAGAATCAAAACCAATTTATTGAGCAAGCAAACGAAAAAAAAAATTACATTTTTCGAATTTTTTCAAATGTTTCTTTATATTCCAAAAGATGAGGATGAGTTGAAGGTAATTTTTCTTGAGCTATTTCAACTGTTTGTTGAATATTTTTTATTGCCATACTATATTTTCGTGTAGCCAAATATAATTTTGCCATATTATGATATATAACAGCTAAATCAGGATGATTTTTTGATCATTTCTTCTCACGTATTTCTAATCCTTTTTCGAAATATGTCAATGCTGTTGAATAATCTTTCATTTCACGATAAGTTTCACCTAAATTTATATATGTCAATACACAGTCCAGAGGATTACATTGAATATTTTCTTGAATATTTAATGCTTTTTGATGAAATGCAAGTGGCTTTTCATAATTACCCATTAATCGATGAACATCACCTATATTACTGTATGTTAGAGCTAGATGTGGATGATTTTCAGGTAAGGCTTTTTGACGTATTGAGAGACACTTCTCGAAATTATCAAGTGCTTTTGGATAATCTTTCATACTGCGATAAATCTTTCCGAACCAGTTGTATGGAAAAGCCAAATCTGGATGATTCTCAGGCAGAACTTGCTTTTTGATTTCCAAGTTTTTTTTAGAATATTCAAGTGCTTTCGAGTAGTCACCCATGTCATTATACACTCCACCGATGTTGTTGTAGGAAGAAGCCAATGAGGGATGATTTGGAGGCAGAGCTTTTTCTCTTATTTTAAGTGATTTTTCGTAAAATTCAAGTGCTTTCGAGTAGTCACCCATGTTGTTATACACTTGACCGATGTTGTTGTAGGAAATAGCCAAATTAGGATGATTCGGAGGCAGAGCTTTTTCGTAGATTTTATGTGATTTTTCGTAAAACTCAAGTGCTTTCGAGTAGTCACCCATGGTGTTATACACTTGACCGATATTGTTGTAGGAAATAGCCAATTCGGGATGATTCGGAGGTAGAGCTTTTTTTGTGATTTCGAGATCTTTTTCGTAAAATTCAAGTGCTTCCGAGTAGTCACCCATGTTATTATACACTAGAGCAATGTTGTTGTAGGTAGGACCCAATGAAGGATGATCTTCTGGAAGAGTTTTTCGTTTAATTTCGAGAGACATTTCATAAAATGAAGCTGCTTCTTTGTATTGTCCTTGGTCGTCTTTCAACCATCCAAGCTGGTGATAGATATGTGCTCTATCACTGTCGTTAGAAGCCTGTTCTAGTAGTGCCATGTACAATTCTTCGGCCTTGTTGAATTGACCAATTTTGAGCAGCAATTTACTCATTCGATACCATCCAGTGTCCCATGAAGATTCTTCTCGTATACGATTGGTTAATTGACGAAGCTGTTGGTCATCATCCGACGTAAGTTTAAGATCCACTTCATAAAGTGGACTTTTCTTATCAATTTTTCGAACTTCACCAATTCGAAAGACGGTGTGCATCGAGAAGAGAATTTCCTCTTCTTTTGCGAAATCACTAACCTCCTTGATGGAGGCAAAAGGAGTCGATGAGACCATGGGATCAATGGTCATTTGAAAGAGAACGCCAATCATTCCTTCTGTTCTTAAGGCATCTCTGGCGAAGCCGAGGGAAATATCACGATCTACACTGGTGGATAAAAAATTATTGAATGAAATAAGTCCACCTTTGCTTTTGACGAGTTTTTCGTGATCTACTTTTGATAATCTCTGCCCGCGATAAACAAGAAATGTCTTACCATGATATTGACTAACTTGCTTGGTGTGTAAACTTTCAATTTGTCGATGAACATCACATAGATAAAATCCCATTCGGATGATAATATCACCGTCGAGTGTTCGTAATGCCCGATTGAGCATTTTGTATGTAAAACATTGGCGTGTGTACCACCATAACGCCAATGTAGGATGATAATTAAGTTGGAATTCATCGATCAATTTCAGTTCTTTGGTATTGTCCTTGTATTGTTCTCGGCAGAAGGTGACCAAGTCTTTGATAGCTTGTTGATCATGTTCCATATCAAGGAGTATTTCCTTGAATATTTGTGTATACATGAAGGAAGGTTCTAGCTGATTAAGATCTTCGCTAGAACCTCCTTCATTGGCACCGATAATACTGACCGTTACTTGATCTTGATTGCATTGTTTGACAGCTAGTGCCAATTTTTCACAGATGTGCTTGATTGATGTATGCACACCTTTAATTTTGGGCCAATTTTTAGCCCATTCTTGGTGACGTTGCTTGTTGCCACAAAAAATGTATATGGCATCCAGATTTGGCATGCCATGAATTTCTGGTGCCAGGTGTTGTCCTAATGCACCTGAGGAGATGACAAATGATGTCTCCTCATTGTTTTCCTGGAGCTTCTGGATGCATTGTTCGGCCGTGGTGCACGGATTAACTTCATTAACAACGCCGCGCAATTGCGCGAGTGTATTCTGGGAATCTTCATTTGCCATGTTGATATTGCCGTCGACCCAGATGACTAGGTAATTTTCAGCCATTCGTGGTCGTCGTTGTCTACTCATTTTCGATGTTGTTTTTGACGTTTGCTCGACGATTGAATATTGTGAACGATCAATTGTTGTTTGGATAGAGACCACTGTTTTCTATTTATACATTCGATGTTGGATGTTTTTTTTCTAGATTATTCTACGACGTCAAATATGGGTACGTATTTTTTTTCGTTGATACTCAAAGATAAATCCCACCTACATCCAATTGAAAATATGTTTGTCAAAAGCAAACGAAAGCAAAAAGTCCAACAACATAATTTATTTTTATGGTTATTCTTTCCAACTTTAGTTTGCTCTTTTTTTATATTAACTTTTATTGTCCCCATAAAATGAGATTGACAATAGAAGATAAGAAGAAATTAAGCATTAGTAAATATAATGAGAAGAATGAGATAGCAAGAAGAACGATACAAACACAATAAGTAGAGGTATCATCATAAATTTGTAGGCTAGTGCGATCTTATGTTGGGATGTGTATGCCTAGGTAGATGGGTTTCCGAATGTGAGTATGGGTGGATGTGGCTGTGGGCGGATGCAGCTGTGGGTGTATGGTATGGATTGGTGCTGGTGGATGCGGTTGTGTCTGCAGTTTCGGGTGGGCGTCTACGTGGGTTGGTACAGCTGCAATTGTGAGTAGTGGATGGCTATGTGGGAGTGTGGCTGTGGATGTGAGAGCGGAAGCGAGTGATGTGAACGTGGTTGTGGGTGTCGATGTAGGCGCGGGTATGGGTGTAGGTGTGGGTGTGAGTCTTTTCTTCAGCAAGCACGCCCACGTCCACCGACACCCACAGTCACACTCATGCATTCATTCTTCTTCAAGTTAAAAACCTTGTCGATCATGTGAAACAGTAGAGTTAATGGTTAAAGTTGGCGTGAATGATGTCAGACCTCTTCACACCCTCATGTCAAGATAGATAGATAGCGTCTCCTTGTACTTGTATTTTGAAAATTTCCAATCCCTTCGAACCAGCCGTTGATTTTACTTTTTATCTTATTTCGAAGGGTACTCTTGTACGATTCACTTCATTCTAGCTCTTTGATCATTAGTAAGTCGACTACAGACTAGAAGTCTACAAGGTTAACATCAAAATTACTGAAAAAAGAAGTTCTCCAACGGATGCACGCCGTTTTTGTTGATATTTTGCCTATATGTATAGTTTGATGACACTAGAAAAATCCTAAAAAGATAACGGCACATAAGTTTTCGTTTTCGAGTGATGATCATTTTACTTGGTTTATCACCTATGACAAGGGATTCAGTGAAAAATCAGCTTTCATGCACATGCACGTCTTATGACCTATATATTAGGCTCAAAGTTGCAGTCAAAACAAATGCTTCTGTCGTGAAATATTGATTTTTTCGTAGAAGTTGATTTTCCTGACATGTATGTAGCATGGTAATGTTTTCTTGATAATGCAATATTTTGAGAAAGAGGCGTCCGCTTTGACTGGAACTTTTAGGCTAATATATAGGCCATAAGACTTGCATGTGGACAAAATTTCAGATCGAAATTTCTCAATTTGATTTTTTGCTGAATCCCTTGTCCTAGGTGGTAAACCAAGTAAAATGATCATAACTTGAGAAGGAAAGCCTATGGACTGTTATCCTTTAAAGTTTTTTTCTAATCTCATCGAACCCTACATATAGGCAAAATATCAACAAAAACGGCATGAATCAGTTGGGGACTTTTCCTTAAGAGTCTTGTACCATTACGAGCTCTTCGCAAAGATTCGCATAGGTTTGAGAAATGACCTTTTCAAAAGTTTTATTTCTGTGTTGTTTGATCACCAATCAGTTAAGAAATCTACAATGAATATATTATGTGTTCAAACAGGCTCGACAAGACACCATGAACCCCTGTTTTGTTTTTTAACAATGATACAGTATGTCGTTTGTGTCACAGGAGTTAATCGCAGAAAAAGAGAAAAAAGTTGGTGGGGGCACATGCTTTTATTCTTCTTTTGCGGAAATTCAATGACTTTGCACACAACATACTTGAATAGAAGTCTTCATTTGCATAATAAATATTTGATAAGAAAATAAAGAACGGACCACTTTGTTAGTTGTCATCAGTGGGTTTTATCCAACTTACAAGTAGAACAACACAAAGTCAATACACAGGTGAAGTAACGCTGAATCAGTAAGTGTTGATGGCTGTTACAGTGGGGAGCTGGGCGAACATGTGCGAAAATATTCTTTTCTAGAATCTAACCGTTTGCGTAGATACATGCACATGTGATCTATCATTTCCTAAAATAGTGGTTCTCAAAGTTTTATAAAGCCTAAGAAAAGAGCTCGCCAAGGCTTCCGCTCCAGAAATCAGCATAAATAAAGGAAATCAAGCTACTAGGCAATATGAAACAATATTGCACAAGCAAACAATATCACAAAAAGCTTCCGCATGGGTAGACCTTATGTTTAAAAAAAACTGATGCAAATTTAATTTAAAACAGAGTAGAAGACAAAGGATCTCGAGATCCAAAACCTATTTGAAAACATATCGTTCCATATATTGTAAGCACTACAAAGAAAAAACGTTGAATCGAACGCGCATTTTTATCAGACGTTCTTACGTATGTAACCTACTTATGATAGTGGTGCAAACTTATGAAACCTTTCCTAAGCTATTTTACAGTAGGAAATCCGATTTTTGGCACTGATATTACTCTTTGAAGAAAAACTATGGTGATATTCGAAATGAACGCATTACACTACTTCGAGTGATATTTAGCTCAACATATTTTTCAAAACAAATTGTTTTCGGAAAATTATAGCTGAGGTACTCTCCAGCTAGATTTTTTCGTAAAGTTTTCTTAAAAACTTTCTGTTTTCTGAAAGACGATTCTCTGAATGATATATGTTTATTTCTGAGCAAAACAATTGTATGTTCGCCTGCTTATGCGAGAACTCCCCACTGTGCTACAGGTATTCAAGGACTATTATATAGAAGTATCCTCAAATCCTTAAGCCCTATCCTGCAGCGATAACCGTAAGTAGGTGTATCATAGATTCAGCTCAGTTCGCTAAGCTAGAACTAGTCAGCCAGCTTTGTTCGCATGAGCTGGGTCTGTTGCACACCTAATAATCAATTGGTCTTTAACTACACAAGAGCTCAAGGCTTACCCAAATTTTCAAACAGTTTCTCCGCCGCATATACTACTTGTGTATCGAAGACACTCTATCACGCGACTCAATTACCTTCAGCTAATAAAAAAACTTACTCTTACTTGATAAAGCAAAACTCAAGTACACGTTTCTTACATTACTCATAAATCCAATATTTCCTAACGCATTCAACAATGACCCCAATAGCCCTCAAAACTTTACGGATGTATACTGCAAACTATGCTTACCCTAAATATTAGTCGCCTTAATTAGTGCTGATTAATTGAGTACTCTCTCTAATTAGTTCTAATTAGTTGGATACTAATTAATAAACTAACTTACAATCACATAATGTGCTCATAGCCTATGGCTACAATTAATGGAATCCTACTATGTGCTGTTAAGTATAAAAATGGACTGCCGTGAAGTGAGATTGAAATTTAGAATTTACGCACTGTGAGGCTCACTTGGTCGACCACATTTATATACATAGGAGTATCATTAGAGATATGGCTCTGACATTCTACTCGATGTAGTTATGCTTACTGAATGAACCTATAGATTAAATCGTGAATGAAAAATGATTAACATGGAGAAACAATGAAAACATGTTATAATCAACATAAAAAATACGTCGGGATGAACTTTGTTGAAAAAAGTTAATTGAGCCAGCCATGATTTTTCTTAGATATTTTCACGTAGAAGATGGAGTTTTTTACGGGCTATCTTCTGATATCATAAAATTCCTGAGGAACTCCATTTTTTAATTCAAAGGTCAAAATACTTTTAAAAAACGCGAAAAAACATGGTAGGAAAAACCATACATTTCTTCATTAAAAAATCATCGTATTAACCCTTTTTTTCCTATAAAATGATGCTTGTGTGAAGTCGACAGAAAAAGAGATGCTCTTCCTTTTGACAACAATCAATACTATATTAATTCGTGGAATAATGCTTTAGTTTTACAATATATTAAAACGTACCAAAAAAAATGATCATTGTGCATTATAACTCTATAAGGCTTGTTACCATGACATACGTCATAATTCAATGAATTATTATCAGATCAAGTTAATATTTCGGATTTAGTAATACCTACATACGACCTTTATTTTAAGATAGTTAAATCCCAAATCGAAAATTTTACTCCAGCCATGTTATCTGGTATTCTAATAGATCCTCTGCTAATACTCATAAACTAAATTAGAAAAAGAAATAAAAAGGTAATCATTTGAATAGATTGTAGCGTACAATTCGCATGGTCTGTTTTTTTATCTTAAGTTTCACTTCATACCATATGAGGTTCAATGTCTTAGTAAAAAGATCTACGTTTGCAGTCCATCACCGTCAGAAGTTAGAGAAGTATGGCATTGTATCTAAGTTTCTTACATCAAACTTAAACTATTTGTATTATTCAACCAATGATTCCGATTCCAATGTAGATAAGAATTTCGATACTGTTGCTGAATATATCCGATGGATCGACTAATGGGAAAATAAGTTGAAACCAAGAGATATTCAAAATAGAAGAAAACGATTTCAATGAAATGAAGAAAAGAGAAAAAAAGACAAACTTCTTCACGAGCTACTTTCATATCATCTTTTATATTAGTAAAAATAGTAGATCGAATAAAATAACCTTTATCACTAACTTTTTTACCCGATCGAATACATTCAAGAATTGTTTCTAATTGATTATGACTGTTTTGTAGAATACACAAAAGAAATTAATGCTAATCTGTTGTCTTATCAAATTATTTTCTGAATCCTCAATCAGTATGTTTTTTCCATAGTTTAGATTATGACACTTTGCTTGAAATGCTTTCCTATACCTATGGTCCTTGTTCAGTTGTAGAATCAAATGGATCACCAACAATACGTTTCTTTGCTAATTCGACACTTAGACACAAAAGTATCGTGAAGTGTGAAAGGAACAAATATTCTTGATGCAGCAAAGCATACTTGACCTGCATGAATGAAAACTGCTCTATGAGCAGTTCGAACAGGAACATCGACCAAAACATGCAAAACAAATTAATTCAATCGTTTATAAACCTTTTTCGTCATTAGAAAGCATAATGAAAGTGGAAGTAATAGAATTATTTAATACATACGATCAGTATCTTCACAAATGATTAATGATGATTTACTACTTATATGTGATGAAAAAGGCAACAAAGCAGACAGGTAAGAAAGATGATTTTAGTACATAAGTTCTAGTGAAACACGCTTTAGATTAGTTTTTCCTGCAGTTTCTCGAATTTTTTTCCCAGTCTAAAACAAAATATCATGTGCTTTTGGTATTCTGTTTTTCACCTGCACTAATATTGCCTAGAATGAACCTGTAAAAGCTATTTAATTAATCTTTTCATGAATGACCACAGTTAGGTCCATGACTTACATATGTATATCATTATAAGAGTTGTTTTCATTCTGGTGATGTATATTACCTAATACACTGTTAATAATACCTGGTGAAAAACCAGCCTAGAATATTGATTTAGTATTCGAATAAATTTTGATTGTTGATAGATGATGAATAATACTTTCTTGATGACAGAAGCACAAAAGAGTGCAGTAAGTGGTGTTTGTTCAGCTGGTTTTAGAATAACTACATTGTCTATTTGTTATTGCAATATATAAGAAAATGTAAATTAATAGAAGTAATGAAGTTACCACAAACTAATGCTGATCCAAGTTTCAAGGCCAACATAACAGTCTAAAATATAATGGCAACAATACTTTTGTGTGATGCATATATAAGAAAGAATATCGTACTGAATAATCATTAAAAGAGGACGGTGCAATTTGAATGTTCATTTATTGAATGTTTGAACTAACCATGAAATGATTTGTCCATAGATACCAACTGATTCATGTTTAATATAGGTAATAAAAATACCTGATTCTGATGGAAGTGTTTCATCAGTGATTTTATCAGCCCATCCAGCATCTGTAACATGTGAATATCATTGATAATAAAAAAAAAGAGAATGTCAGAGAGGCTTTCGATAATCAAGACAAACAGCTGTTCCAAGAATTTCGCAATAACTCTCTTGTAGCAGTTTTTCACTATTCAGTGTTTCTAATTTCTGAATATTCATTTATGATGTAGATGCAAACAATCAGAGTGAACATTTTTACTGCTAAATAATCCACAACACGTGGAAGTAAATCAGCAAGTTTACGAATTAACTGAGCACGTGCAGTAGGATCTAATTTATGTCATGATGAATCATATTGGAAACCTTTTTCAGCAGCTTCAATTGCTTTATCAAGATTACTCTACAATATTGGAAACAATAAAAATCACACGTAGAACGAAAATCATCATGTGTGTATATATATATTAATACTTTTGTGCCTTCTTCTACTTGACAAATTTTTTCATCTGTACTTGGATTAATGATAGAGAACGGATTCATTTTTGTCTACATGATTGACCTTGATTTATCACATAAGAAGAAAAGAAAGAATGGACATATATTAGCTCGTTCCTTTATCCACTTATATTCATTGCTGTTTCAGTTGCAGATGATGTCTTCAATCTTAATGAATGATTCAACTTATGAAACCGATTTGGTTAAGAGAAAACAAAAATTTGATAAGGTAGCACACCTGAGTATTGTAACAAGTCTTCGTATCAAAGTGGTATTTTTTAAAACTTGTCTTATCGATTGGACTTTGCGACTAGCGAAGAACAATTTTTTTAATACTATATGTATTTGATATTGCACTTCACTATAGAACTATTTTACTAACAGGTGCAAATCAGATCGTCCTTAGTATATGCAAAATCATATCCTTTTGATGTGACTCTATTACTAAAGATCTTATCAGTTCGTTTAATGTGAAACACTCAATATATGAAGGAAGACTTCCAGAACGAAATTGCCACGATGGAAAGAAGGAATTTTTAGAATAGCGAAGGTTTCAAGCGAATAGAACTAATTTTCATAATTGTACGCAGGATTTCGAAAGCGTTGTAAATAACAGGCTAAAGCATTCTCTTCACCAATATCATATATCTACTTATGTGATTTCAGTTAACAAATTAACATTTTTTACAAGAATATTATTGTTACTGTTCAAAACTGATGTCACTTAGATGATAGAGAACAGGAACAATCAAAAAATTTATTATATATAAAAACTTCTTTAGATTCACTATATATATATATATAATCAATAAGTAATATTTTACGATAGCAGAAAAGAATCGATCACACTTTTCTTTCTTCAATAATCAATTTGTTTCTTTGTATTGTATTTTGTTTAAAGTTTTGTAAACAATAAAATTTTAAATGTTATTAATTATGTATCTTAAATTGAAACTAGATTATGATCATTCACACGAGTTATTACCGTAATTAGGAGTTGTTTCAAATGATTGCTCGTAGTATTCTATTCTTTGCACTTAAACATTTTATTTAAATTAGTTGTATGTATTAGTGAAACTTTCGCAATACATGGAAGAGTTTAGAGAGCAAACTACATAAATGTTAGAAAGTTAAACGAGCAAATTCAAATAGATGTTCTTCATGAAAAATTTGTATTGTTTTTCCTCAAAAGAGTTTAACAACAATTGTTTTTACTTGATAGTATGGTTCGAGACTATATCAACCTAATTCTTTTTCCTGACCTGATTCTTTAAAGCCATCAAATAGTGCTTGATCGCATATAATCTTATAAGTATTTATCCAAATAGAGCCAGGTCGTATTTGATGAGCCACCGTAAGACCACGTCTTACTGAAAAACGAGAATAATCATCAATAATCATTTCTTTCAAATTTACTGTCTCTATCTATAGTTATCACTCCAGCACCAAGTCCAAAAGTCGTGTCGTTTGCTCGTTTGATAACTTCTTCATATGAATCATACTTTAAGACTGACATTACTGGACCAAATATCCAAACTTTTACATTATTATAGAATCTAATAAAAAAAAAATGTTATACCTCTTCACGAGTAATTTGCATATCATCTTTTACATCACTAAAAATAGTTGCTTTGATAAAATAATCTTTATTATCAACTCGTTCACCATCACATTCTAATTTATCTCCAAACTTTTAACTTGATTCTATAAAATCCAAAATCTATTGAAATTGACTATCATTTATCTATCATACACAAGTAAAGGGAACTTTTCTTTAGATTAAAGAGGTTATTACTTGTGATCCTTGTTCAGCATTAGAATCAATTTGATTATTTGAAAGTCTTATAGAATACTCATCCTCACCCTCAGATGATCAAAGGAGATTTTCCATCGATATGTGAAAAGAGAATAGCTTAGATGAAAATTATCCTGTATTTGTTACTGACCAAGTTCAAGTGTAATACATTTAAGATTTGATTTAGTTGCTGCTTCTTGTATTTTCTTTCCAACCTTCAATCAAACATTTCATATTCATTTTTTTTAGTTTTATTAGTGAATATTTTTACTTCAACTGAACTAGTACAAGCTGCTTTATCAATATGTGCATGAACAGCAATTGCATAACCACATTCAGGTCCATCACCTACATATTCTTATGAAACTATTATGACAAATATCACTCACTTTGCCTAGTATGATGTTGACAACACTTTGTAGAAAGTTAGCCTAGATCATCATGACAACAACAACGTATAATCGACATGATAATATCTTACCTCTTTGATAAGAGCAGCACAATAAAGTGCACTAAGTGCTGTTTTTTCAGTTGGTTTCAGTGCAATCAACTGAAAACAATATTTCACCTTTAGTCTGTTCTACTAGTTTACCATTGTTAAGTGTTTCCACTTTCTACATATTGACTTATGTTGAGAAAAAGAAAGAGGATCTAATTTATGCCATGGTGATTCAATATCAAAAGCTGTTTGAGCACCTTCAACTGCTTTATCAACATCAGCCTGAAAATCACAATAGATAATGAACCAATGAAGAACATATAAAGATTCATACTCTAATGCCTTCGTCTACTTGACAGATTTCTTCTCCTGTACTTGGATTGATGAGAGAAAATGTTTTCCCATTTGTTGCTTTATGCCATTCATTGTTGATAAAGATTTGAGTATATATTAACTTTAACATTCGAAACTATTCAATTAGCCGATGACATCTGAAAAATAAGAGAAAAGACCTGAACAAAAAAAAAGGTGTTTTGGTCGACAACAAGTACGATAATGATTGTGTCATCGTCATTTATCTAAGCAAACACACACTTATGTATCCCGCTCGCTCTCTTTTATACGTGCAAAAACATATACCCACTTTTTGTTTTTTCTCTTATTTTCTTAGGACGAACGAGGACAGACGCTGGATAAAAGAAAAAGTCGATTTTCTTCTTGCCAATATAAAAATGTAGCTTGCATCAACGACAGTACATAAACAGTCATGATTTTGACTAGAGAAAAAAAATCTTAGAAAAACGCTGGACCTTCTCTAGTACCAAATGGTCATTTCGTCACATGATAATTTTTCTAATCGATCAGAACAAGATTCCATAGAGTTGATTAACATTAGTTCCCTCTCCGCTTCTCCCAGCGATTACCTGATCATCAGACCATTTGGTTATAAGATGTTCCTCAATATGAGAAACATACAACGATTTTTTATTCTCTATTGTCAGTCCAAAACATCAGATAGTTGTCGAGAAAATCCTAATCGATCTTTTATTTTTCGAAGTTGATTCAATGACTTTTCAAGGTTTATCTGATCAAGCACAAATTAAAATATTCATTGATATTTCTATTCGAATTTACTAGATAAAGATCCAATCTCCAATGACGAGTAATTTCCTATCTGAACTAAAGATAATCTTTTCCTTTTAGTTGATTTAATTTACAGTCTATCGAAATATGAAGAGTTCGTCTTAGAAAAGTGAAAGTCTAGACTATCTGAATAAGATATTCAATGAACATAAATTATAAATTGAAGAGTGAAATAGTTTTTCCATTCTTCTTAAAAAGAAGACTTTATTTCAGTTATTCCTTCAATGAATAAAAAAAACCAATCGGTTCTGTTTATTGTTTTGATATTAATCAAATCAAATGAAATAACATTTGCTAGAAAAAAAACTAATAAATAACGAAACAATTCAATTATCCAAGCAAAGTGAGAGAAAAAAAAAGATGTTGATATATGAGTGGCAAAAATGAGATTGCTAGAAGAAACGAATGTTTATTATGAATTCAATTCTATTATTTCAATGAAAAATATATCGAACTAACTAACAATTTGATTTATCATTTGTTTTTGGTTGAAAATTTTCCTTACTTTTATGTTTTCAGGAGAAGAAAGCAAGAAAATAGGGACATTCAAAGAGTTATTATTTTACCATGCATCTTAGTTGATATTGCAACACCATTATTTGATATCACTAATGGTATATTTATTATTTAATTTTCTACATCAATTTCGAAAGACTTCTAGCAAATGCTCCGTATTAGCCAATAAGAATTGTCTTAACGGTTATCGATGTTACATTGTCGAGGTCGTTCATTGCAGACACATTTTCTTAATAATCGGCATGATGGCGTACAAACTTTTCTGCTGTTATTTTTCTCATGATGGCTAACTGTCCCACGGTACAAAATAAGACAAATTCCTGATGGGAATTGACTTTTGCTATCGAGTAAAATGAAAATGTTATTTTCTGTTTAAAATGTAAAATATTGGACGAACAAAAAAATCATTATTGACTCAGACAAATTTATTGCGAAAGCGAAAATTTGTTAGTGATTGTTTTTTTTGATAAATGATGTGCTTTTTCCTGAAACATGTTTCAATCAAGCGAAATGAAAATAAGCTACTTCTTTTGAAATTTCTTACTTAAATCTTGTGATGAACTGTAACAAAAATAAGAAGTATTCCATTTGGATATCTGAAATGATTTGATCATATTTCACATTTTAATCTCGCACGAATTGCCCTCAAAGTTTTTTTTTGTCCGATTCGTGCCATTTTCACATAAATAGCAATAGATTTAAGAAAAACTCATGACAATTCAATTTTATTTATCTTTTCATTTTTTAGTTGTAAAAGTAAAAAGTTTACAAAAATACTTATTTCTATCTCTTATTCTGTCGAAAAAGGTTAGTTGTGCAGCAGAATATTACGATAGTTGAGTATTAGAAAAAGGCTCATGTGATTCTCACATAGTGCTAATATATGATTAAATACACTTTTATCTCCTGTTCTCCAGTGTGAAACTCTCTAATTTCTATCAAAACTGATTTGAAAAATATTCATTCTTTTTCTGAGTTGAAACGAAAAATAATTTTGCTCTCCAGAAGCTAATTTTTTGGATAAAAAACGATTGAAATCAATACATCTGATGTAGAAAAAATTTTGATTTTTGTATACATATTGATATAGGATTGAGTTTTTTTCAAGACTTATTTGACATGATAAAATTTACAGGTAGTCAAAGCATTGGAACTGGTGTATATTTTTTATATGCAAAATGTGCGAGACTAAAAACATTTTGACGTATCGAATATTTCAACGTATAAACAAAAATATTTCATCAATATGATCTATCGCTAACAATATGTTACTGACGAATACCATTTGAACGAATTTCGATTGTCAGATAATTAAAATCAAAATATTTAATGACAAGCAAAGAATAGAAAAGCAAAAACAATGAGAAAATATATATTAACGATATATTTGAGAACGAATTAGAGTCCCACTGAAGCAGAATAAATATAAGATAAAAACAAATTTCCAACGTACAAAAATTTCTTCGAAAATAAAAGTAATTCTTCGAAGACAATTTTTATATGAGTGTGTTCGTATTTTTCTTTTTATTAATAAGGAGATTATTACTATAAAATTTAAAACGCTATTCAGAAACTCAAGCGGTCTGAACTGGCTTTTCGCTCAATGAAATTAAAAATTATCATCTCCATAAAGATCGATTAGTTTTTCGTACTCAATTATAACTTATTATTCTCAAAGATATAATTGAATTGTCACATAAAACATGAAACCATCTCATTTCACCCTCACATATGATGGAACATCTTTAGAACAAAAACTTTGAGATGAGAAACGCGTCAGTGACGATGAACGATAATAGAATTGAAACTGTGAAATTGATAGATAGTTCAATTGATCAATTAATAAAACTACATAATAGATTTAGGTCCAATCGATAGTGGATTTCATTTTCAGATTTTTCAAAATTGTTTCGTACGTGTAAAGTTTGTATCGCTTCGAAGGCAATATCATGTGATAAGCCAGCTAATATAGAGAGATCTTGACGCGAGAGTGAACGTAAATGAGGCATATGTTCAATGAGATCAAGAAATGAAGTCGATATAAGATTGGTGTCGGTTTCTTCTATATTGAATACGAGTGATGTAATATTGATAAAACGTTAAATAATTGGATGATGTGCATATTGGTGGCCAATAAATATTCGGACATACGAGAATATTTGATGTAAAACGAGGTACCATAAAGATATTTCGCGAATATGGACCATCATTGGCAACAAATCAGCGTTTTTGTTCAAGTCAAAATAGTGAACAAAATGAATCAAGAACATTTTCTTCGGAAAAAATCTGGTAATGAACATAGAAGATGCAATCGAAAGTTGAATATAGTCAAATGTGAAACAAGTAATTCCCATTTTTGACCATCAATAAGATCCAGATAATCGTGTGCAATAAGTTCGAAATAATATAGATTAGATATTTTAGATAAAAATTGTTCTACATGGATCATGGTATTTTTTTTACCTTAATTCTAAAAAACAAAGAATATATATATGCAATTCTCAAATAACTATACACAGCATGAATATTTAGGATGAGCCATCTTAGATGGGGCAATAATGATATGTTATACGTTCACTTTGGATAATTATCATATGAAAGTTTGACATCAAATGAATAAAGATTAGGGATTTGATTTAATATAAATGATAAGCCCCAGCAAAAGAAATTTTGAAGAGTTAAATGACGTAGATGAGGCAATGAAGCCAAAACGGGATTATGAGCATGAGGTACTGCTAGTCGATTCATTCAAGGAATTAGGTTATATATAGCAGTGTATGTCTGTGTTTATTATCACTAATCGTAGTCATTTCGAATGATTGAAGATAAATGAATTGTTCGAGTTTAAAATGAGAAAAGAACAGATTTGATTGATTTGATGTATCATTGTCATGGGACAATATAATAGAAATGCCTTGATGTGGTCGTATATATTGGCAGAGAAGATCAAATTTTGATTTAAGAACAAAATGAAAGTTAAGTAAATAGTGACAATAGCCAGCTAATATAGAATCCAAGTAATCACTTAGGCTAGAAAATGAATAGTAGATACCATGTACTCAAAAAGAATCAAAAATATCATGTGAGATAACTGATTTCTTATTGCACGTTGATGATGTAATAATATAACACACTGCTTTTTTTCTTGTTTCACTGTTTAGTCGATACTACTTGCAAACATTCTTCTTTTAGATATGAAACATATGTCGAGATGCAAATGATTCATCGTGTATTTGATATTGAAAAGAATATAGAATAAGTATAAATCGATGATGAGCGAATGAGAATGACAAATCAAAAGTTTCGAATAAAATGAGCAAACATGTCTTTCAATGGTCACATATCTCTTCTGCATCTTTAGTCTTTACGTACTTTAATCATTGCCATTTTTTTTCTTTATTTACAACATTTAGTACGAGTCACTGCTTTCCATTTTTAAGCCGTTTGTTTTTCTTTTTAATTCAATTTTATAACACTAGAGAAGTTTTTTTTGATGAAATTGAAATATAGAAAAATTCAGATTATAAAATTAACTTTTTTTCTCTAGGGAAAATGAATAAGCAAAGAAGAAAAGCCTACTTCGAACGTTATCTTGTTTGAGTTACCTTACGATTGAACGATGAATAAGAAAATGATTAACGTTATTTTTTTTTTATATACAAGGTATCTCGTAAGTCATCGGGCAAGAAAAGATTTGAATATCTCTTCGTATTTCGGCGAAATTGGCTAATTATTTTACTAAAGATGAACTATGGTTCATAGCTCATATTCATAGTAGAAACGTTAGCAAATAGGTTTTTGAAG